GAGAGAATAGAAACTTCGAGACCAGAAGTCAGTTGATCAAAACTAGTAGACAGCCTGCCCAGTGTTGCTCAGTGGTTGAGGGTGCACCCATGCACCAAGAGGTTGTGGGTTCGACTCCTGGGCAGGGCACATGCCCTGGTTGTAGGATTCCCCTGTGGGGTCAGGCAGGAGGCAGCCAATTGATGTTTCTCTCATTGATGTTTCTATCTATCTCTCCCTCTGTCTTTCTTTTTCTCTAAAAATCAATAAAAACATATTTAAAAACAAAACAAAAGTAGTTGCACAGCTGGGATTATACTCATGTCTGCCCAACTCAACATGTATTATGTTAGACTTTGGCACATATTATAAAGGGGGTTAGGTGAATATTAGAAAAGGGTTTTTAGGCCATCTTAACTTGGGATATGTTTTACTTTATACAAGGTGATTTCTCTCTTCCATTCTTATGCATTTTATATTTAAAAAATTTTTTAATTATGTTTTAATACTTTCTATATTTTCTAAAGCCAGAGGAATTGAAAGAACTTTTGTACTACTATGCATTTCATTTTTAAACAATCCCAGACCACTTGGAAACCCACTTCATTTTCGAAATTTGATGGACTAATTTAGTTTTCAGTTCTTTTCATTTTCATACTCTTTCTGTGCTTTCGTTGTGTAAGGATGGCAGAAATGTTGTTGAATTGTTAAACGTTTAGTTACAGGAAAGGACCTTGGCTTAGGATTTAGGAAATTCGGGTTCTAGTTCTGCCTCTGAAGTTTAAGATACTGAATAACAGCATATAGTAACTCTTAATACTGTTTTGCCACATTAATTTATTGTAAATAAAAGATCAAATATGTGAAAAGCATTTCACAAAAAAATTTCTCTTTGTGTCAGAAATCATAATAGCTACAGTGGACAGTTGGAACCAGAACTAAAGCAAAATAATTTTAGGTTTATTGTTGTTGTGTGAGGACCTGCTTACGATTTGGACATCTTGTTAAATGCTTGTTATAGCCTTTGGCTTGGCCGAAGCAAAATGCCCAACTAGGATTATTGTGGATAGATGACCAAATTGCTATCTGAATTATTTTGTAGTGACAGGTTAATTCTTAAAGGACTATATTGTATTAATTAATTAGGTCTAAATTAGGGAATGTTTTGCTCTCTGAGCTTTGTAGAGGGAGACAAAAGAATGGGAAAGAAAACTGGATTGGGGAAGCTAGCCTATGGTAGTGGAGGAGAAGAGGAATGACTCTTGGGGGGAATGGGGCCTAATGGAGTCTTTGAGAAACATCATGAGAACTGAGTTATGGGTAAACTGTATTATTAGAGTCAGCTGCGGAGGTCACCTGTGCTTTTGCCATATTGAAAATGCCATGCTCTTTCTTGAACTGGGCCAAGTGCAACTCAAAGATTTAAGTGAGTTGGCTCTGCTCGTCTGCAACGTGATGAACAAGGTGGAAAATGCCTTGAGAGATCACCCAAAGACATCTGAAAGTACAGAATGGTTTGTCCAGGGGAGTGTGTGTGTGTGTGTGTGATGTGGTAGGGGGAGTAGGCCATTCTGGTAAACTCATTTGCCTTTAATGGCCATTGTTTCACTCAGCATTCCCAGTACCTCCCAAAGCTCAACAAATTTTGCCTTATCCATTTACTTAAAAAAAAAAAACACCACAGACCACAAACTTTTAATACTTAAACGTATCAGAAACAAGAACTTTATACATCTGTTGAAATTTCACGTTTGTTGTGCTATAGTTTTTCCTAATGAAATAAGTAGATCAAATTAGCATAAAACCAGTCCATCTGTAGTCCACCTAAAATTATTTTGAGGAATGTTCCTTTCATCTAATTTTAGCTCTTCTCTTTACAGAGCGGGTCCACAGGATGACAGGGTAGAGGTCAAAGGGGAAACCCAAAGACTGCAAATAAGGGCTTTTTGATGGAATTTTCTAGATCAACTTAAGCTGGTAGATGGGAATTAGGCTTCCCTGTAGGTTATCAGACTAAAGCAAGTTTGAGTTAGACTTTAGTTAGGTTTAATTTTTTTCCTTTCTTTCTTTCTTCTTCTTTTTTTTTTGAAAAAAAAAACACACAATACTTTTTAAGGCTGTAGGAGTTTCTAGATCTTATGTTTCCCTCTGTGGGTTTCCTAGCAGACTTTTTTCTGAAAAATTCTAAACTTGGGTTGGCTTCAAATAAGAGGAACTAAGGTTTCTTCTTGTTGATTTTAGCGATCATATCTACCCTGCCAGGTCTAAGCCCAGGAGTTAGCTCAGTTCAGCCAGAGTTTATGAGCTGCCTTTTCTGTGTCAGGCACAGTGCTAAGCCCTATGATGCAGAGAGGAAGCTATGGTCCTGTCTTCTGTGAGGCACAGCATATAAACAGCCCAAACAACCCAACGCAATACAGCTACGTGCCAGATACAGCAGAAATGAGCTCTTTGGGCAGAGCAACAAAGGCCTTAAAAGCTGAGAGAGCACTGGGGGCTGGGCACGTGGAGTGTGATATGAGGGGGGCAGCACACAACTTACGCCGCGATGAATGCTGTGGGTTTTTTCTGCCCAGGCAGTCTTCATCGAAGATCATTCTGCAGCATTTCTGTGGGCTCTGCCTTGGCCCACATGGAATTCCAAGAAGAATTAACGTTTTACATGTGCGGTAACGCACAGCCTCGCTGCCCTGACACCCTCACATGAATTTGAAGTAATAACTAGGGAACCTTCAGTTGGCATATTGAGATGGCATCATTCCCAAAACAACATCGTAATGAGGTTCTGTGCCTCAGAAGCAACTCTTCTTGTTTAAACACTACTCAGGCACAGTCTACCCAACGTGTTGGAAGCAATGTGGCAGAAGTGGCTGGGCTCAGAGTATGAGTCTCCGATTGTGAGGGACTGTCTGGAGCAGCCTTGACTATGTCAGTGACCCTGGACTTGGCTAGGGGGATTAGATGCCTAAGGAAAGAGAAAAAGCTTAAAACCAATCAGCCTTAAGCACCTTTAGGGAATGTTTGTAGAGAGTCTGAAATAGGGAATTTCTAGTCTACACATAGCTATTACCCCACCCACCCCCATAACCCAAGCCACCCCCTACTAGAACTTGAGGTACACATTCAAACACCAGTAGCAGACAGATCTTCTGTTCTATGCATGTAGGGGTCAGTTAAAGGAGAAACTTCTAACCCATCCTCACTCTGGGTACCTAAGCCCCCACAGTGTTCATTGTATTGGTGTCTGCATTCAATCTTAGACTTTGGGGGATTTAATATATACAGGCTTTTAAAAAATTTATTAGCATGATTGTCCTCTGAAAAGAGCAAGAAATAAACCTGGGGTTGTGGGGAGGGGGCAGTGGGGACTGAGCATTACTTCAGACCCAGCCACATCTCTGTGTTGCCAGAGAACCATACCCCTTCATAGACACAACCACAGCCGATTATTTCTTTTGGCCAGGTCTCTGACCTTGAAGGATCCAGACAGCCGCCTTGAAGCTTTGGGTGCTAGACATAATATGGGCAGAGCCCTAGAGTTATTTCTCTTTTATATATTTTATTTAGCATGCCTATACTGATTTTTTTTTAATTCACCACAAATTCTCCTCTTGAAGTAAATCTAAAATGCTTTACCAAACCACTGCCATTGATGTCATTACGGTACAGAAAGTCTAAAGCACATTCAGAAATATAAAGAATGCTAGGACTTACGGCAGCATCCACGGGGGATGCCATATTGCCCTTCTCTTGGAGAGCCAGCAAGTTGGGAATCTGATGTGTGTTAAATCCTTGGTTTCCTTTCTTCTGAATGTGCTGAGATAGTTTTTTCTTGGAAAAATAGTTGATGTTCAGCTGGGGAGGTTGATTTTTCTCCATCAGTTTTCCCCTTTAATAATTGAAAACTACTGTTCATTATTTACATAAAACTGTCTTTTACTGGTCTGCTTTCTATAACCTTTCCCCTCTGAAGAATTTTAAGAATTCCCTGACGTTGCTCTAGGGGATTTAATGCGTGCTTTATCCCAGATGTGAGACATAGACTAGGACTAGGCTGAGGTTCCTTTTTTTAATGGTCCTACATTTGAAAGACATTCTTTTAACCTGTGAGCAAAGCTGCCACTGAAAAAAAAAGGACTTTTAAGAAAATTAAGTAGTTAAAATATGTGAGTTTGGTTTAAATGTCTGACTTACTGAATGAAACCAAAATCCCATATGCAAAATGGAAAAGTAGACAGTAGTTTCAAATAATAAGGGGAAAATGCCCACGTGTTATTTTAGCCTTTTGATTCTGAGATCTTGTTTTCTGAATGAAGGCGTGTCAGCTTCCAGTCCCAGCAAGCCCCGGCCAGGTCTTTCCCTCATGCTCGTGCTGTCAGCCCAGGGGACGCGCGGGCCCAGCAGACGTTTTCCCTGCTTTTGTCTTCTCTGTCCCACCTTCTGCGGACGCAGTGAGGATGTTTAGCTTTACTCGTAATATTTTGTCTGCTTGCCTTCTTATAGATGTATTGATCCTAACCCCCAGTTCTGAATATAGAATGTTAGGGAGAGGTTAGGGTGAAGGAGGCTCTGCTAAGCAAGACAGGATTTTCCATTTTTTCCTAATGTCCATTCAGATTCCCAGATGGCATTTCACCACTAGCTTTTGGTGAATGTGGTTTTCATATTAGTGGCTAAAAAAATAACCATCAAGCCTAAACTTTTAGCGTGACAAAAATGTGACAAGAATGCCTACTTACTGCAAGTATTATACTGTTTTCCCAAGTCCAAAGTTCTGTTTTCCACAGTGTATACGTGTCTGATGTATCATGCCTAATTAATTAAATAACGAATTAATTGACTTTAAATTATTAGGTTTCAGTAAGTACATATCTTCCTAGTTTAAATTTCGTTGTATTAAAAAATACCTAAATTTTCAATCCTTGGACCTTTTCCTAGTGAGTTCACTACCTGCCATATGCTTCTACTTTGCCGTGTTTCCTTGGTTGACATGTCCTTCTTTTCTTGTTTTCCTCCTGCAGTATCTTTCGAAGATGGTTTGGCTGCCTTGGAGGTTTGGAGATCTGATGCCACGATGAGGACTCACACACGGGGGGCTCCCAGTGTGTTTTTCATATCTTTACTTTGCTCCGTGTCAGCCTACATCACTGACGAGAACCCCGAAGTTATGATCCCCTTCACCAACGCCAACTATGACAGCCACCCGATGCTGTACTTCTCCCGGGCGGAGGTGGCGGAGCTCCAGCTCAGGGCCACCAGCTCCCACGAGCACATTGCCGCCCGGCTCACCGAGGCCGTGCACACCATGCTGTCCAGCCCCTTGGAGTACCTGCCCCCCTGGGATCCCAAGGACTTCAGTGCCCGCTGGAATGAAATTTACGGCAACAACTTGGGTGCCTTGGCGATGTTCTGTGTGCTGTATCCTGAGAACATCGAAGCCCGAGACATGGCCAAAGACTACATGGAGAGGATGGCAGCTCAGCCTAGTTGGTAGATTTTTGTCTTTTTCTTCTTCCTGTATTAACTCTGCAATTTAAAGAAACAAATTTATACTCAGATGAAATCTCAAGAGGCCAGATTTTCACATACTTGTTTGTGTGTGTGTGTGTGTGCGTGTGTGCGCGTGTGCGTGTGTGTGTGTGTGTGTGTGTGTGTGTGTGTGTGTGTGTGTGTGAATGAGAGGACTTACTTGTTATTTGTGTTGTCAGTGGCTTATCTAATGTCCATAGTTTCAAAAGGGCTAGTAACGTCCATGTTTAAAGTTAGAGGGAAAATATTTAGATACAACCTAACCAAAGAAAAAGTAATTTGTTGGATTGAGTAAACAGTAACATTTTGATTGTTGAGAATTTTTTTCACCTTGTTTAAAAAGTACACATTACTGTCATCTGTAGGTTCTCATTGACATTCTCCCCTCCCCCAACCAGGTGGTTCAACCTCTATGCAACAAGAAATTTCAGGCAATTAAAATCTATTTTTATGATAGGAGCTAAGTGTAAATGTGATGGGATTATTTTGTAGTCTATAAACAAGTTCTTATCCAGTTGCCAGCAAATTAGCCAAACCTGTAGGAAAATTAGTGTTGTAGTGTAATTGTGTAAGGAATTCTTATCTATACTAATAAAAGCCTATGTGGTTGTGACACCCTCATGCCGTGATGCCCTCATGCTGTAACAATCCATCACCAGGAGGCTGTTTGCGCAGCGGGCACGCATGGGTGGTCGGGGACTTTGATTCTGTGTGTGCAGTGCGGAGGCGGGACCCTCCCTCTTACCTCCCCCCCCCCGCCCCCCGCTCTGGCCTACCTCTTTGGGGCAATCCATCAAGGAGCCCCAGATGGGTGGGCAGGGCCTACCTCTTTGGGGTGATTGATTGTGGGACTCCCGCACTGTGGGGAGGGCACAGGCCAGGCTGGGGAATCCCCCTCCCCCCGAGTGCACAAATTTCATGCACCAGCTCTCTAGTTATGTAATAATTTACTTTCAAAAATTCAAGATTTGAGGACAAACTTCCTCTTTTTGATTAGTTTAACTTTATTTGTTTTTAATTTGTTTCCAAAAGATATGGATAAGTAGATTAAATTAGAGAATCTATGTAATCTTACTTAAGCTATGTCTTAACACATATGCATGGCTCAGTTACACTAAAAAAAATTACAAACTATATGATATCCTTTTAAAATTACATAAACTGCTACTTGTCATAGGGCTAGAGAGAACTCATTGTTAAGTGCTTAGAAAACTCAGTGAATGTATTTAATGCTGTGATGAATTAGATCTCCCATGAATTACATCTTGCATTTCATAGGGGTGAGGAATGGTAGTTTGCAAGCTTCCTGAGTTTTGCCAATAGGGCAAAGAAACTTAATTCTTTCTAAATTTCTGCTAATAAGGTAAAGACTGTTGTTTGCTTATAGAGTTTGAAGGATTTTCTAGAATTTCTCAATGAAAAAGATTATGGAAGAGTTGTCATTAAATCCCTAACAGAGCTGATTTTTTAAGACTTCTTAGTTAGATATGTCTAGTCATTTTGAAGCTTTTACAATATTTTAGATAGAAAAGAACCTTTTTAAAAAAATTTTGTTTCATAGCTGAGCCATGTATGCAGTAGTTTCTGACTTTGGCACTAATTAACTGATCTTATTTTATTGACACCAAGAAAGAATATAAAAGATGTATGAAATTTTATTTGATAGTTGAGTTACAAGATTATATTATATCACATGTTATAATTACCTGACATTGTGTAATTAGTTAAATCTGGCAAGCATCTTTATTTAGAAAGAAAACTTTGTTGTCTTATAAGGGTACTTTTTTTTAAAGCTCTCCTCACCCACCCTTTTTTTATATACATAGTGAAATTTGACAGATTAAGATACTGGTGAAATTGTTCCAGAGATATAGTTACTGTAAAAAGTCATCTATTTGACCTCATAAAAGAGTAATTGACTATGAAGTATCATTTCCTTAATGGAGATTATTTTAGCACAAATATAAAAACATTAAAAGAATTGAATGACTAGTGCAGTTTTATTTACTATAATATAAACATTCAGGCATATAAATGTCAGCTTGAATGAATGCTGTTAATAGAGAGGATTAGACTCTTATCATAAAAGGAGAATAACTGACTTCATATAAAAATGAAAAGTTTTACATAGTTTCTACAGGCTTAGATTTACTGGTTTTTGGAGATGTGTAGCAATTTACTAGAGGGCTAGTACTTTATTCATGGTAGTATTGATAAAAATGGGTATAACCCTATGCCATTATCCAGTAGCTTGTAAACCAGTCTGTGACTTAATAGAACTGAACAATTGACTTCTTTTGCTTGACCTCCTAGAAGATGAAGGTCACAAATTGAGAATTTACTTTTACATCTAGTTTCTAGCTCCAGAAGTGATCCTAGCATAAAAATTTGAGCTACTGGAACATTTTGTCTTGGCAAGTACTGTTACTATGCTGTGTTTTTTAATCGTTTTGTGGAAATTTTAACTTTCTAAAAGCTGCCACACCTAATCCTTAGACTCTTAAATTCTCATTTAAATTTGTAGTTGAACATAATCACTTTTTGACAATTTAAAACACTGTTAGATGTTTTTCTAGTTCAACTATCTCTTTAAATCAACTAAATCATATGTCCCCATTATGCACAGAGAAGTATATTGTGGGTATGGTCATTGTCTTAGGATAGGTTCACCTATATTTGGTTTTTAGGGGGTGGGGGGAGACTAATTCTTATTTACAAAAAATCAACAATCAGTAATTCATATTTTGGAATTTTTAAGTAAAGCGTTCTACAAGGCTTCATCAGACTTACTGTATTCGCCATTTTCCTTGAAGAACATTCCTACTGTTATGAAAACCACTACATTGTGTTCATTGACTTAATCAACAAACATTTATTGAGCATCTGTTGTATGTCATACCCAGTGCAAGGTGCTGGGGACTCAGAAGGGATGCAAACATTGGGTATTTGAAAGCTAAGCGAGGCCTGTATCCTCTCCTCAGAAATGAGTGTACGGTCATTACGAACTTACCAGGTGCTTCACGCTGCACTCCAGTGCAGTGGAAAAGTGCCAGGTCTGTAGTCACATGGCCTGGATTGGAATCCCAGCCTCCCTTCTTCAGCTGTTTTACTTCAGACTAGTTTACTTACCTTGTTTGAGCCTTAGTGTTCTGATGTATAAAGTAACAGTAACAGTGGTATCTACCTCATAGGGTTCTTAGGATTAAATGAGGTAAAGTACTTAGCACAGTTTCTGTCACACAGTAAATAAGAAAAATGACAACTATGATCATTATTGTTACTGTTATTTACTTAGCACGGGGCCCTGTTTGGTTTATAATTTGGTATATGTAGCTCTAAGGAAATAGTATTTGTTTAGTATTAATTTGGAGACTTGACTCATTTTTGTTCAGATTGCTCTCAAAACTAGAACATCTGTGTAACTCATAAAATTTTCCTTTTCGCTTTATTGCATTAAAACTTTCAGCAATGCTCCCCTGGGCCCTTCATGCATCTAAGAATCTGATGCTAATGCCAATGAGGAAGGCTTACGGGAAAGGGACAATGATGTGTCTTTTGTCTGGTATTAGAAGGAACTCTATCTGAGTTAAGCATGAATACAGGTGTATTTATGTGGTTCATGTCATTTGAATATTTTGTAAATAAAGATCTGAAAGACCATATATATAGATTCACTTATTTATGAATCTTGGGCCATTATAAAAGAAAAACTAAATGGGAAATGTTACCTAATTCTACTGATGTTGTCATGTGTCCGATGTACTACAAAGTTGAAAGGAAATCTGATAGATTGATGATGATGGTGGTGATTGATACCACAGAGATGAGACTCTGTGTTCTGTGTCAGCCTTTGCAGAGATGCCCACATCCTGTTGCAGAAGCTCTCTCCTTTGAACTGTCTTCTGCTAATGCTGATATGTTCTTCATAATAAAAGTAACAGTACTTTAAGCTTGCTCTTAGTTCTAAAAATCAAATTTTAAAAGATATTTTAACCAATATGTATAAAATGGCCAATTATTTTTCACACAACAAATAATATCTTTGATTTTTGAATGAAGCCCCTTCTCCCCATAGATCTCATCTTCCAAATGAGAGTTGGGATTTGGGTTGCAGTTGGCTCTGTATTAGGTAAAAGTGTGGCCAGAATTCAATATGCAACCACTTTAAGTACGCTTAATGAGCTGAGATCATAGATCTGGGGCTGGTAACAATACAAAATGCGTTTTATTGCACTTAAAATGAATTCACTTTTTTATATAATGTCACCTAGTTACTAGAACAAGTTCTGTGTTGGGCCAATTGGCACATGGAGGTATTCTCATTTATAAATGGTTGCTTTGTGCATTCAGTTCTGACATAGTTAAGAAAAAGAGCACAATTGATCTCCAAATAACTAAAAATCTTTCATCTTTTTTCCCCACTCAAGAGCTTAAACTTTAAGGTAGGAAAATAATAAAAGAAGTTCTTCGTGGAGATTTAAAGGGATGTCCATAAAGTCAATTCTAGGATGAGTTTTTGGAGTCAGCACATAGTACTCTACTTTCCTAAAATTTTTAAAATATTTATGTATATTTTTATTTACTTATTTCTACTGTGCCTTTCCCTCAGAAGAAACATTAAGGAAACATAAAATACAAGAATCAAATTTGAAGTAGCTGGGAAAGAAAAGGAGGGATAAAAAGGTTAGGGACATCAACTGGACTGGGAGTGAGACAGTAGCTGAAATGCTTCTTCTATGCCATGGGTGGGCCACAGGTGGGCCCTGAGATTTTTAGCAGCAAAGAAAGTAGGCTCAGTTAGTTTTCAGCAAACAGTGTCCGTGGGATTGAAAACAGATCAGTTACTCTGCAGAATGCTATTCTGGACCCAAGGATCAGACAAATTTCTCTTGGGGTTTTCATGAAGAATCTTCACCCTAGTGTCAGGAGCACCCATACAGCACATATGTGATGAGTTGTAC